CTCATTTACATGATTATAACCCCAAAATCTCTGATCTTATCTGCATTTATGTCCTGAATTCTCAGTACATATGTCCATTTGAGTCTCATAGATGGAAGATGTTCCAAACGAAACCCACTGTCGTTCTCCATAATTGTCTCCTCCTTCTTCTGTCACTAATTAATGGCAATACCACATACCTAATGGTTAGAATTCGTGGGCATGTTCTTATTGCTCATTCTAGTCCCTCTTCCCCATGTAGCCGGCCAACAGATCATATCATAGCATTCCTTTCCTCCATTACTAGTGTTTCACATCAGCCCCTCTTCATTTCTGACCTGTTTCTCTGTTGAATCTTTTCTTGATTCTCTTTCTCTTTTCTTCTGCAACCACTTGTTTTGCAGTGATTTATGAGTATTTAACATCAGGTTGGGCTTTTAGATGAATGTTCCTATGAAACAGGAACATTAACTTATTCAACTCTATTGCTTAGCAGTATTTCTAAAGCATAGTCATTGTTTCAATAAGTGCTGAATAAATGAGTTATTTAAGGAATGGACGAAAATACAAAGGAGCCACTACACTCTAATACTGTAAAGAAATCAAATAAACTAACCTCCATAGGAAAAATGGCTCTCTGTGTGTGTGATTTTAGGCACTCAATGCATATTTATCAAATGAATGAAGAGTGAAAGAATGAATGAGTGAATGAATAAAGTCTTATAGATGTAGCCCAAAGCTACTCACAACAACATTGCTTTATCTCATAAACTCATTAAAAATGTTCCATTCTATTCTGCAGGAGGCTGATATAAAATATTGGGGGGGAAAGTTGTTTTTCTTTAAATAAGCTTTATAGTTTATACTTCAAGAGCTCTTTAGGAAACTCACCATAATATATATCCTGAATGTTTCCTTCCTTCTTTCTTTCTTTCTTTCTTTCTTTCTTTCTTTCTTTCTTTCTTTCTTTCTTTCTTTCTTTCTTTCTTTCTTTCTTTCTTTTTTTTTTGGCCAAGATGAACTATAAAATGGCATGGTTTCCCAACTGACCAGAAGTTTACCTAACTCTGGATAGTCCTCAAATAGTTTTCTGCGGCAACGATCATGACGAGGGATCACAAAAGGAACTCCCAAACCAAGTAGTTATTTCAGGCTTTGTGTGGGCTCTTTTAATGAATTTTCCATAAATGGAAACCCACTGGGTCACTCACGGTTCTACATACCAGAGGGCAAGCCCAGTAGTATGGGGTTGGCTGCATTGCATCATAAAAAAATAAACTTGCTGGAGAAAGTGTATTCTTCTCTTGTGCTTTATGAAGAAGCGTGCACCAGTAGAATGCTACAGTCAAGTTACTTATCATCTGAGAAATGGCCTTCTCAGTAGCTTTGGACAAAAGCTAGTCTTAGCACAAAGAAAGAAAAGTCAAGGGCTGTAGGAAGGCTTCAGTTGATCTTCTAACTTTCATGATCTCCTAACTCTATGCTCTTGAGTCTACATGAAAAAATTAGCACTTTAGGGCTACCTGTGGATTGCATGAAGACTATAGCATAGGTGAGGGCATTTGGTAAATGTTAAAGGATTTGGCCAAAAAATAGTATTCTGTGCCACATGCTCTGGGTTTGAATTCTGCCTCTGCTAGTTGTTATTACACACCTATGCACATGTCCTGGCTTTTGCAGGGGCTCCTCAGTGGTTATGCAATTTACACAGAAAAATTTTTTTGAATTCAGTACTATCAGCTGGCAGAGGGGATAAAGGCAATGTTAAGACAGCCTGTCTTCCTAGGGCATCTTTTTCATTTCATTTCCAGGAAATGCAAAAAAAATGTAAGAGAGAGGACTGATGAAGCATTCTATTAATCTTCCCCGTCCTCTGTACAGTAACTGGTTCCAGAAATTTTATGTGGGAATTGGGGCTAACCAGAGACTGGGACCTAAACATCCAATTCTGGCCACACAGAGTTCTGTCTTTTTACCAAAGTGGAAATTTTTCAAATGAAACACAGAGGCCCCATGCAACTTACTGAAAACAAGTCTGCAGTCCCTCCAGACTTTCCTATTTTTTTAAATATATAGGATAATTATATCCAGTAGCTTAGAGAAACTGCCTTCAATAATACAATTGCTCTCTAATTCTTAAGTCAACCTTATTCATCTTTTTCTCTGTGGATTCCTTTCACCTCAACTTCTCTGTATTTTGTAGAAATGGTAACTAATTTCCAAAGCATGGCTTCAGGAAACCAATAGTGTCATGTCCAATTGCCTAGAAAAATACAAATCAAGTCAGCATTCTTGGTCTGATCTTGTATGTGTGTGGCTCCTTCCAGTGAGGAACACAGGCACCATCTGTGGGGTTTTCCCATCCCATCCTCATCACTTTTTGGTGAGGGAGGGGAGTAGGCACTGAATAAGTGGGCACAGCTGAACCGCTGTGCTAAAATGGGAAAGGGGGAATGATGGGAAGCGTGGCTGGGGAAGGTCTTAGGACTGCTAGCCCTACCAGAATGGGGCTCGCTCAGCAGTAGCATGCAAGACAAGTGTTCTGAAAGAAGCAGATCCTTCAGAAGTCAACAGCAAGAGAATAAAGCATGTCTCATTGCTTGCCTTGTCTTTGCATGTTGCACCAGGAAAATTCTATTTCCTAACATTGAGTATTTTAGAAATATTTGAGTCCAATCTACACAAGGGGCCTTGAAAGAAGACGTAGCCATATGCTATAGAACATATTCAAATGATCAAGAAGCAACAAAGTCATTTCATCCTGCTTTGTTTCTTTTAAACACTGATCATTATTTGTAACTATTTATTTCTCCTCTGCTGTCAGCCTCCTTGCTAGACTATGAGCTCCTGAAGGCACGGACCATCTTAGTTTTTGCATCACCATATGCTATGTTCCTTCCTTCTACAGCGCCTGGTATTCCATGGGTACTCAGTTAATGTGTGTTGAATGAATAGATTCCATCTATTTCTGAAAGATTAGGAGCAAACCAGTACCTTTCACACAGTTCTGGTTCATTTCTTTCTTCTAATGTCCACCCACTCCAAATAAGCCAAGAAAAAGAAAAGAAACTCTTATCCTTGGCAGCAACATAAATGGACCTGAAGAGCATTATGCTAAGCAAAATAAGCCCTTTAGAGAAAGACAAATACCATCTGATCTCACTAATGTCACTAATATGTGGACTCTAATGAACAAAATAAGATGATGAACAGAATAGAACTGGAAGCATGGATACATGGAATAGGCTGGCAGGTGCCAGAGAAGAGGAGGGGTGGGGAGGGGAAGGAGGAGAGGTGACTGGGTAGAGAGGTGAAGGGATTAGCTAAAGAACATATGTGCATACCCCATGGACTTGGACAATTGGTGCTGAAGGCCAAGGGAGGGGGAGCCTAGGCCAAGGGAGGGGGAGCCGGGGCTGGTAGAGGTAGACAAAGTGGGGGTGGGTTGGGGACATCTAGTACAATAGTGTCAATGTAAAAATTTTTAAATTTAAAATAAAGAGAGAAAGGAAGGAAGGAAGGGAGGGAGGGAGGGAGGGAGGGAGGGAGGAAGGAAGGAAGGAAGGAAGGAAGGAAGGAAGGAAGGAAGGAAGGAAGGAAGGAAGGAAGGGTGAAAGGGAGGGAGGGAAAATTTAAGAACATTTTTCTCAGTAAGCCTCAGGTTATGAGGTATCATCCCCATTTTGCACTGTACTCTATGTTTTGTTGGTTAGGAGTCCTTAACATCATAGTACTCCGAAAATTTCTCTTGGATAAAACGTGAATGGCCCTAAGTGAGATACTTTGTTCTTCTTCTAGTTTATCAGCTGATATCATGTCCAATCAGCCCTGATGCTTGTTGTGTTGCAATAAGAAGTGAATGAAATTACTCAGATTAAAATGCTTATAAAAAAGAGGCCATTCTTTACCTTTGTCACTCTAATTCCACAGCGAGTGCTGTTTCCTCAGCTTGGCATGCTTTTCCTGGGTCAAGGGGTTTCTGTGACATTTCCGGAGTTCTGCAAAGAAGAGTTTGGAAAAATTTACTGTGTTTGGCCTGCCACCTCCCAAAAGCATGAAAATAGTCAGTGTTGATCCCTTTCCCAAAAACAAATAATAAAAAGCAAACAAACCATCCCCTACGTACAAAGAACACTGTTCCTTCTGAGCTACGTCAATGCTCCCTAGAAGACCCTGTGAGTCTAAAATACAAGATGGACTGCTTAGTTGGAGCTGCCCTCCCAAGCTTGAAAAATCATCTTTTTTTCCTCTTTCTGCACAGAATTCTTCTTGCCATATGTATGGATACTTATGAAACCCTACCTACTCTCTGAAGTTTTTCCCAGAAGAGAGGTAGTCATTTAGTTTTCTAGACACAATTGACCTGTGAGAGTCAAGACTGGGCCATTGATGTTCTGGAGGAAACATCAGTTTTAAAATTCTAGGACTCTTTCCAGTGGATTGCAAGCTCTATGGGGACAGGGACCATGCCTCACTCACCAGCATCTCCCTGGTACATTCCTGGTAGGCATTCAATGCATATCTGTGGAATGAATGAATGAATGCATTGATCAGGATGACTGCTGATGTCATGATACAAACTTTGTACTTCTCCACCTCTTTACTTACTATATGTTTGGAATCATTAAGTCTTAGAAGAGGTATGGTATGCTCTTCTGAGAACCACTAATTCATCCAACTCAATCATCTAGAGAAAAATCATGAAGACCAGGGAGATACAGTGTCTTTGAGGCCACGAGGGTTATTTAGTGATACAGCTAGTTGTAATAATTTCTATTCTGATAAGCTTTCTACTCCGGTAATCTATGAGCTGAATTTACTTAATATAAATGTGCTGCCATCCCCACCTTGGTCTTTGAGATTAAGCGAATAGAGGCAAGAATTGCGGCCTCTGAACTTACCTTGCTGTGCCGCTCAGCAGGTAGGAAGTTCATAAAGGACTCTCTGATTCTTGCGATGCCTTTGCACAAAGGAACCACCCTATTTCCATGCTGACATTACCACTATTTCCTTTCTTCTAGTTCCTGGACATCTCCATTAAATGGACCACTCAAGAAATATTTCCCCCAAAGTACCTTCATTATGACCCAGACACCTCTCGCCAGCTGATGTGTGACAAATGTCCCCCTGGCACCTACTTAAAACAGCACTGTACAGCAAGGCGGAAGACCGTGTGTGCCCCTTGTCCTGACAACTACTACACAAACACCTGGCACACCAGTGACGAGTGTCTGTACTGCAACACAGCGTGCAAAGAGCTGCAGTATGTCAAGCAGGAGTGCACCCGCACCCACAACCGCGTGTGCGAATGCGAGGAAGGGCGCTACCTCGAGCTGGAGTTCTGCTTGAAGCATAGGAGCTGCCCCCCTGGCTTCGGAGTTCTGCAAGCTGGTATGCATCAGCTTTCCAACACGCTGCCAAAGTGATTAGGATTGTACAAAGTCAAGTAGTAGGGGAAGTTTAAGGGAACACTTTTGTCTGATGATATTAAGGATAGCAAACTGCAAAGGTAATGGAACCTGCTAGATATGTACTATGTGTCTGGATTGCTGCCAAACGACCATTTCTCAGAGGAATACTCTGCTGCTCCAGGGCGATTTAGTGACAAATCTCAAATGCAGCAAATTGCTCTCTAATGAGATGCATGATGGATTGCTTTTTTTAAAGGGACACACTCTGAGTTGCACTGTTTATAGCTGATAGATACCTCTCTGTTTCACTTCAGCATGGACAGCTTCAAACTGCGGTGCTTTTTGACAAACATCAGAAATCTTAATTGATACCAAGAGAGTAATTATGCTGATATTGATGAGGCTCTGCAGTGCTAACAATGAGCAGTTATAATTAATTATGCAAAAAATGAGAATGGCTAGGGGAAATGAATTTCATTATAAAAAATGAAGCTAGTTCTTCCTTTGGCATGGGAGTTGAGTGTCTGGGAGGATAAAGACTGCAGCAGTATCTCACCGATGAGCTTATTCTTTATATTAGACAAAACAGATTGTCAAGCCAAGAGTAAGTACTTGTCTACAAACAAAATACTTTCTCTTTGCATTTTGAACAGCATAGGTTAAGGCCAGTGTGCATTGACTTTTTTAAAGCTGCAACCCACATTTTTTTTTCCCTACCACATTCATGAAGCTTCAGTGTAGTCTTAATAGCTTGGGAAAATGAGGAGTAATTCACTTAATTTCTGGAGGAAGTAGTAATCAGTACAAATTCTGATTACTCAGTTAGAAGTCATATTTCTCAGCCTCTGCACCACTGATATTGAGGGCTGGATAATTCTTTCTGTATGCAGTTGTCCTGTGTATTTTAGAGTGTTTAGCAGCATCCCTGGTCTCTAGTCACTAGATGTTCCTCCCCCAGTGGTGACAATCAAAAAAAAGTCTCCAGACATTACCAATTGTCTCCTGATGGCAGAATTGCCCCTGGTTGACAACCACTGGCTTAGAGGAGCTAATTATTTGGAACTATTTTAACCTTCAGAAGTTATGATATACAGAGTTTAAATTATTAGATGACAAATACAAAGCAAGCATACTCAAATATTTAGATCTATTGTTTCCTAAGTTGTGAATCTTGTAAAATTAATCACAGAAGGTGCAAACTGCATGATGGCTCCTTAAAGTACCTCTGGTATGAGTATTTAAGGGAGAAATTAGTAACATTTCCTAGTTTTTATTGGATGATACTTTGGAACTCAAAAGCTAAGCCAAGTTGTAGAAGAGAAAAGCCAATCCAACAAAAATAAATCCATTTAATTCAATTCAGTACATTGAATATGTAGAAAAATTAATGAAGGGACTAGGCAGCTTGGAAATTAGAGATTTGATAAAATAATGGAAATAGCAAGGATTTTTCTCACATAAGCATGAAAATCTGTTTGTAGAATGAAGTAAGCTAGTACACAGAGGGGTTATTTACCTCTCATTCTCTGTTTCTCAGGGACAATAAGAGTTTCCAGCCCAAAGAGAAGGAAGGTTTATGCAATGTTATTCTAAGAAATATTTATCAACCCTTCCTTTCTGTCGTTTTGAAGTTAGATTGACTCTGAATTTTATTTACTTCATTCTATCTGTTAGTCTTATAATTCCTGTGTCAGCACCTGGGGCCAGCATGGTGAAATTCTCAACAGTAGAACAAAACTCCTCTCATCATTATGACATTTGGCATTGGCCTGGCAGATTATACTTTGTATGTTTCCACTGGTATTAATAAGGCCAACTTTTTTACTTAGATGGATAAATCTTTCTTTGTAAAAAGTTCTACCAATTATAAGAGGGAAGTCCTATTCAGCAAGGTCATTATGTAAAGCCTCCAAAGACATTGAGAAACTTTACTTCTGTCATCCTTGGATTTCTTTTGTTAAAGAGCTTTAAAGGCTAAGCTACCTGAGAGAATGGCTTGTACCGATGACTTTCTCACTGAGATGCATGCAAAGACCCAACCCGTCAATGTGTATGTGAAGAATGACAAGTTTTTCTTTGTGCAGTTGGCTCTCCAGAACACTTGGCAGTTGGCAAAGGGAGACTTGGATCCAGGTGTCCAAGTCCACTTATTTCCAGAATATTAGCAACGAAAGAACACCATGGGCTCACTGCCCAAACACCTTCGCTTAGGATATTGTAGAATTTGGTGTGGAGTTGCATGCCATTTAAAAAGAGCAATATAGTAAGAAAGTACTTTTTAAAAAAAATTAGCCCTCTTTGTAAGTTGGTTCCTATGATGTTGTCATTGCAACACTGGAGGTAGAATTTAATATGTGAAGGTTTTCTGCCTGTGGTTTCCCACCTCCTCTTTTTTTCTGCCAGCCCTTCATCATTTTTACTGGTCAATGCATCATTAATCCCTTTGGAAGAAGCAAGAGATAAAATGAGAACCAAACAACTTTGCTCTTTACCCCCACCTGTGGATTTGATATGAAGTGGGAGGTTCACATTTTTAATAACCGAAGTTTATTGACTTCCCACAGCTTCATTTGTCCCGTTCACATTTGTTACCTCGCATAAGCCAGAATTGGCCTGTAAAAGCCACATTAGAACATTGAAGTCTAAATCTGTTCAACTAGCTTACACTAGATGGAGGTATTTTCATATGCAAATGCACTGTAATGTATGATTTATCCATGAATGATAGAGCCAAGAGTTTGAAGGTATTTAGTTTTAATAGCATCGTTATTTGTTGACTGATTCAAGTTTGCTTACCCGTGATTTCTCCAAATTTGTCAAGTATTTTTCCACCATGAAATAAGATGCCCTTGCAGTCACCCTTCCCTGAAAATGTAACAACCAGACTCTTAAAACTCAACAGTTTAAGCAAATGTATATCATCTTCCATTTACTGTGTAGCTTAACTGCAGACTTACGCTTTTGAGTCAGTGGCCAACTTTATTGCCACCTTCAAGAGTTTATTATAATGCTGTAAATTTTTATCTCTCAGGGTTAGCATACTTATGAGTTGCTTCACAATTATGATTCAGGAAAGAAAGAACTTCGATAGCTACCGATTAGAATTTATCAACGTAGCAGTCAATGGGTACTGATTTTGGAGAATGATATCACAGTAGTTACACAAGGGCTATCTCATTGCTTTTCCGGGATAATTGTGTGAAGAATATGTAGGCAACGAGACCTAATGCCATTGTAGCTCACTCAGGACTAATGAACAACCTCCCTTCTTTCCTTCCCTCTCACATTTTGGAAATGTTTTGTAGGTAACAGAAAACAAGCTTGTGTTTGTATTACTGGGAGGGGAGACCGCCTAAGGGGCTAACTGTAGTTTTGTTCTGTCTGTGTAATGAAGTGAAAAATGAGAATGCTTGAAGTTTGGTACAGCATTAATAGTAAAAACTTAGCACCAGAGCAGTTAAAACTAAGTGAAAAGTCTTTCCAAAACTTTGTTAAGAGGGTATCTGCTGAGAAAGTATTTGAGAAGAAGGTGCTAAATGGTTTGGTATTTTCTATAGGAACCCCAGAGCGAAATACGGTTTGCAAAAGATGTCCAGATGGGTTCTTCTCCAATGAGACGTCCTCTAAAGCACCCTGTAGAAAACACACCAACTGCAGTGCATTCGGTCTCCTTCTGACTCAGAAAGGAAATGCAACGCATGACAATATATGTTCCGGAAACAGTGACTCGACGCACAGATGTGGAATAGGTAATTATCGATCAGAACACCAGCCTTCATGCCATCTCTGAGTTGAGTACAAGACACTCTGGCCACCTTCTTAGTCAAACTCATATTTCCCTTTTCTTGAGTTTTAATCAGCTCTTCTATTCCAAGACTATTCTCTGTCCATATGGCTAAAGCCACAACTCAAAGTCCTTCAAAAAGTCCTCATCTCTCATAGATCATGCTCTAAACCCTGAATTTTTTCCTGTTCTGCTCTACTCAAATCTTACCCATGGAGAAAGGGTGGTATAAAGATTATGTCTGAGGCCCAATGAGAAGAGTCCAAATTGCAGAATTTTTTTGCTATGCATTTTTATCACTTTTAAAAATACCTGTATTATTAGCCAAAGTGTAAATTGGCAACTAAGAAGCACAATGACATAATTGATTACATATTAGAAATAGAAATATAAAAACTGGCTTTGCTGCCTATGGTAATACTGTGTCTATCACATCGACGTTCCAGGTTCTTCTTGTCCTGAACTTTTTATTCAGGAAGGGCCACTAGCTCGGAGCTCAAGTTATCTGAATGCATCCCATGTCAGTGATGTCACTAATCAGATTGGTGTCCTCTCCCTGTCACTCCTACCACTAGACTAATCTCACACCTTCTACCAAGGACTCATTACACCAAGAATAATCTGCTTTTAGCATTTAGCTAAACAATGTCATGAACCAGCTTTACTCTCCCCAAGCATCTATTTGTATGACACAGAAGCGTATCAAGCATAGAAATGTGGATTGGGAAATTTAAGATTCCAACCCAGTCCCAACATATTTTCACTGTAATCAAAATCTTAGACAAGTCATTTAGCTGCTCTGCTTTCTTATCTAAAAATGTAATAAAGAAAGGGATAGTAAGAGGAGTGACTTCTAACTTTATCATTCTCTTTAATACATTTAAATTTTTATTTTTGTCATTTTTTGAATACTTACTCTCGGCCAGATTCTTTGTTATATGGGCTTTAATCTTTACAAAAACATGGTTAAGGTTGCTCAAGTTCAATATAGGACATGAATGGCAGAGCCAGGATTCAAACCCAGGCCTGATGCATCCAAAGATAAACTCTTAACCCCTGGGATATACTGACCCTACCCAGACATTCAGGCCATTGGACCTCTTTTCTAAATGACATGTTTTGTTTGTTGTTGTTTGTGTGTGTGTGTGTTTGTGTGTGAGAGAGAGAGAGACTTTTTTCTCATGTAATACGTGCTTATATGTTTACATATATCCTTATTCTCAAAGGCAAACTATGTGTTTGTGTATGTACAGAAAATAATACACTATTCCAGATTACTTTTAAGTCCCTTTCAAAGCAATGCTTGCATTTGTTTTGGCCCTTATCTCAAAGTATTCTGTGGGCTCAAGGAACACCTTTAACAGAATGTTAATAATTACATTAAATCATACAATTTTTGCTGTAATTTGTTTATAGCAACATTAAGTTCTTATTAAACATTTATTAAACTTTCTCCTCCAAAACACTCTAAAAGAACATTAGAAAGGACATAAGCCCAGTTGTATTGGCAGTCTACCACTTAGACCAGCCAACAGAAGGTTGATTTGATTCAAAATTTTTGTTTTAGCATATTATATTTTTTTAAAAAACTCAATTGTGTTGGTTTTAAAATTTTCGATTTTGTCCAATAGATTTCCAGGAATCCAATTGTTGAGTAAATCTTGGTTTTCCCACCTTCCTTTAGATGTGACCCTGTGTGAGGAGGCATTCTTCAGGTTTGCTGTTCCTACCAAGTTCACCCCTAACTGGCTCAGTGTCCTGGTGGACAATTTGCCTGGCACCAAAGTAAATGCAGAGAGTGTGGAGAGGATAAAAAGACGACACAGCTCACAAGAACAGACCTTCCAGCTGCTGAAGTTATGGAAACATCAAAACAAAGACCAGGATATGGTCAAGAAGATCATCCAAGGTATGATAACCTGAAATAAAGAAGTCGATCCGAAATCGAAGATACCCTTTAATCATAGGGCTAGTTGTGTGGATGATGTTTTCTTTTTGTAATTATTGTTGAACTGAAGGAGTTTTACGATGATGTAGATGCTGTTTCTAGAGCAGTCACGCAGGGTTTTATTCTCAATCCCCCCACCGGTCCCTCTCATTCTTTATCGAGTGTATAAAGAAGCCGCAATGCATTTCAAGTGCAGGGCTAGAACTCAGGAAATCTGCCTTTACATCCCTCAGCAGTTTTATTAGCATCCTCTCTGACCTTCTTGGGAGTTCTTTAACCATTTTGAATCTTACCTTGCATTTCTACGTAGAAGCTCTGTTGTATTTATTTGGTAATTCTCTCTAGAGAGCCTCCCAGTGCCTTACCGATAGCCTCTCATTAATCCTCACAACATAGCCTATTTTAAAATTACCATTTTAATAGCATATGTTGTAAGGATTAATGAGATAAGATCTGTAAAGTATTTGACTTTCTTGGAGAAAAGGACTAGTTAAAACCATGTTATAGAATTTTCGAAAGAATCTCCTTTGGAAAGTGAGTGTCTGTGTGTGCATGTGTGTGTATGCATGTGTGTGTGTTGATGATGATGATGAGATAATCCAATAGTAAAAGTAAATTTCATACAGTGTGGACTGTAAGCTTTAGGTTAATGGAAAGAGTTCCGAATTCAATTAGCAATGAGAAGACATGTCAGAAGAAAATGAGGGAGATTTTTCACAAGTCAGACAATGTCAATGAGAAATTCATTTTCCTCTTCAGTATAGTAAAATGACTGAGGAGTCCTGGCCCTACCCTAAAAGCCTCAAACATTTGAAATTGAGGCAACAGATGTTAGGAGATGTTTTGACAGCTGAATGTTCCATTTGTGCAAAGAGTAAACTTTTCTTCTGTTTTCAGCAGACAAAATGTATTCTTTGAACTTATAATTAGCCCTGAAGCAAAAAGAAAGGGAAGTAGAGAATCAGAGACTGTTAGCATCGGAAAGGACCGAATCCCTATTTTATAAACGAGGACATTTCAGCCCAGAAAGATGAACTGACTTGCCTTAGGGCTCAGATACTAAATGACTCATGTCATTAACAGAAACATTAGTTACTCCCTCTTATGTTTATGTCCTAGCTCGTTATGGAAATATTCTCTAGGCTGTGTGTATCACCACATTCCTTGGCCTCATATTACTCTGTTTTTAAATTTTCTTCTCTGTGGTGGTAACTCTCTCATGCTATTTATTAAAGACCATTTGAAGCAACTAACTCTTTTAAAACAGCATATATGTCAGATGTCAACAAATGAAAGTTTATATTGCAAAATAACTAACTTGAAAACTTTCTGTTTCTCTGAAATGTTATGGTTTTAATACCTCAAACTTTTTTTTTTAACTGAGAATGATGTGCCTGTACTTTTCTACCAATGATTTTCAACAGTAGAGCTTCTCACAAGGCTTTGTTGGATGCCAAGATGATATAGTACATTCTCTTACAATAACACAAAAATATTCATCTCAGTTCTCAGAAATAACTAGCACCACTAACCCCATTCCCCCAAAAAACATAAAGGAAAAGGTTATCGTTAAAGTGGTGACACGTGGAGAACCCTTGCCTTTGCCTCAGCGTAGTTTGGCGGCACTAGAAGAATATACATGGTGTGACTGTCTCTGCGTTTGTTCTGTGTAGATATCGACCTCTGTGAAAACAGCGTGCAGCGGCACCTCGGGCATACGAACCTCACCTCCGAGCAGCTCCGCAGCCTGATGGAAAGCTTGCCCGGGAAGAAAGTCACAACAGAAGACATTGAGAAGACGACGAAGGCCTGCACATCATCAGGTGAGCAGATCCTGAAGCTGCTCAGCCTGTGGAGGGTCAAGAACGGCGACCAGGACACCCTGAAGGGCCTCATGCACGCACTGAAGCACTTGAAAACGTACCACTTCCCCAAAACGGCCTCCCACAGTCTGAAAAAGACCATCAGGTTCCTTCACAGCTTCACCATGTACAGACTGTATCAGAAGCTATTTCTAGAAATGATAGGGAACCAGGTCCAGTCAGTGAAAATAAGCTGCTTATAACAGGAAATGGTCATGGGGCCGTTTCCTCCCTGTGGACCAGGTCCGATGGATGAGTAAACTGTTTCTCAGGTTTCTCAGGCACTTGAGGGGGTGCAGTGATTTCTTTCTCATCACTGAGGACTAGATTTGGGCCCAGGGCAAACACAAAAGACTTTGGTATGAAGAAAGAACGAACTTCTCCCTCCAAAATTCAAAAAACCCCAAATAGTTTATCCAACAGACGGATCTGGTCCAGTACCTACTGACTATGTTTTCCTTAATTACTGCTTGAAGTAATTCAACTGGAAATAAGAAACTAGACTTCATTGTGCCTTACTAAGTATGAGAATGTCTAACTTAAATAGCTTTGAGATTTCAGCTGTCTAGAGGCTTTTATCAGAAAGCCATTTTTTTTTTCTGTAAAAGTACTAATATATCTAACACTATTACAGTATTTGCTATTTATATTCATTCAGATATAAGGTTTGTACATATTATTGTTCTAAAGGGAAACCGTGTGGACTTAATTTTAGAAAGAAAAAATTTATATATTCTGTTTATTATGACAAATGAAAGAGATAAAATATATTTTTTAATGGAAAGTTTGTAGCATTTCCTAATAGGTACGGCCATCCTTCCTGTGTGGTGTGTTTTTGTAATATAATTTTACCTATATAAGCTATGATATCATTTTATAGAAAATGCATTATTTAGGTAATTGTTTAATGGGTTTTTTGGGTTTTTTTGTTTAATGTTTTAATGTAAATTATCTGAATATTAGATGCGCTGAGAAATTGAATGTACCTTATTTAAAAGATTTTATGTTTTAGTGTATAAACATCATTAAAGTTTTCAAATTATTTTTCATTGCTTTTCCTCTTGTTTTTATTTGAATGGGATATTAATACGTCTGCGTTTTTGTAATTTTCTCTGTTCTTATATCACCAGGACCATCTGGGAACTGTTAAAAATGCAGATTTCTGGGCCAATTTATTGGCAAATTTTGGGGAGAAGGGCAGAAACCTGCATGTGTAACAAATTCCTAAAACACTTCTTCTTACATTAAAACTGGAGAACTTTCATGGAAGTATAGATCAGAGTGTGGAATCTCAGAGGGAAGATGGGGGAGGATGGGTGGGTGGGAGGTAATCAACCAAAGACCTTGAATGCATATATGCATAGCCCATGGACACAGACAATAGTGTGCTGAAGGCCTGGGGCAGGGCAGGGGCGGGCTGGAGGGAGTCAATGGGGGGGGGGGAGGGCATATGTAATACTTTCAATAATAATTATTTTAAAAAATAAAGTGAGTCTCTTATAGATAAAAAAACACACACACACACACACACAAAAACTGGAGAACTTCTGAAGTCAAGCTTAGCATACAGATGGCGCAAACCACTTATAACTGCTGACACTAGCATTGAGAGGCCAACTATATAAGTTATTTTGGTTGCAAGTTATAAAACCTGACACTACCTAGTTTAAGAAAAAATTAATTGTAAGGGTGGTGTATTGGGCAGAATGGTGTCCCTTCCCAAATCAGTTCACTTCATAATCCCCAGAACCTGTAAATGTTCTTATTTAGAAAAAGGATCTTTGTAGATGTGATTAAATTAAGTATTTTGAGATAATGATATCCTGGATTTTAGATGGGCCCTAAATCCAATGACAAGTATCTTTACAAGAGACAAACAGAGGGGACAGGCAGAAGAGAAGATGATGTAAAGACAGAGGCAGAGATGGGAGTGATGTAGCCATGAGACAAGGGAGCTAGGGGAGGCAAAAAAAAGAGTCTCCCCTGGAACCTTGCTGACATCTTGGTTTTGGACTTCTGGCCTCCAGTACTAGGAGAGAATTAATTTCTGTTGTGGTAAGCCACCCAGTTTGTGGTAATTTGCTACAAGAGCCACTGGAAACTAATACAGGTTGTGTCCAAGCCTCACAAATGGCAGAATTAAGATAACTCTGGTACCATCGTGGGCTGAAGTTCCTACACTATTTTCTGATCTTCCATTTCTGTAGCTTTTAGTTCAAAATTTCAAATTCCCAGGAGAAAAATCCTGGTTGTCCTACATTGGCATAAAGACATGGCCAGTGATGTCTTTATCAGTCGCAGGTCCCAAGAATGGGATATTATGAACAGGGTCCCCTGTCTCCCATCCTTTCCCAGTCTGTGTTCTTTTCTCTCACTTTACCATGACTTAGAATTTAATGTGGCCAGATCAGCCCTGCCTTTGTAAAATCAGATCAGTTATGGCTCTTTGACAAAGAGCAGATCCAGGTAGATACTACACGAATCCACAAATCTAGGGAAATAAAAAGCACAGGGGAAGTCAAGAACTCAAACCTGGAGAATCTGAGTCCCAACCTTGCAATACTTGAAGTGGAAAAAAATTGTGGAGAATACATGTTGCAGGTATTATCAGGACAGGTGTTAACAGCCTGCACTCTCCTTTCAGAAGCATCTATTTCCTCACCAAAATTCCTATCTATATATATAAAAGGCTAATATGCAAAGTATCCCCTCAGGAGTTAGACTGGGAGACCGAGAGTTCGATTGCTTGCTATGATGTGCGCTGACCACCAGGGGGTGGTGTGGAACATGGTGGGTGACCAGCGTGGTGGTGGCATGTGGGTGGCCAGGGAAGGAGGAGGTGGAAAGGCTGGGAGGCGGGGAACCTGATTGGCCTTGATCTCTGGCCAGGCCTAGAGACCCTACCCATTCACGAATTTTGTGCACCAGGTCTCTAGTTTATGGATAATGAAGTGGCCTACACACATCAGTTAAGTTTCAGAAGAGAAGTTTAAAAGTTAATGATATCAAGTATAAATCATGCAATTGCTAATTTGTTTGGCTTACCTGGCTACTCCCTTGGATTAGGTCTACTTCAAGCTTCTCTTCCAAGGGAGATATAATACATAAGTTCATGTCAGTTTTTCTCTTTTTGAACTTTTAATTTTGAAATTATTTTAGAATCATTGAAAAAACAGTATAAAGTCCCCATAGTGAGCTATTTTATAAAATATGCCCCAAAGCAGTTTGTCTGATGTTTCTCATGAATAGACTGATGTTATGGGGAAGAATATCACATAGGTGATAGCCCTTCTTACATCAGATGACAGAATTAATTTTTATATAAGATGTGAGATATGTATTTAAGTCCCTTTAAAATATATATATATGGTTATCCAGTGGTTCCAATATGATTTGTTAAAAAGACTAGGATTTCTCCATTGAATAGCCTTTGAATCTTTGTCAAAAATCAGTTGATTATATTTGTGTGGGTATATTTCAGGACTCTATTCTGTTCCATTTAGGTACAAATTTATCCTTTTACCTATACCACAATGTCTTAATTACTGCCATTTATAGTAAATCTTAATATTATTTCTGATCATTACTCTGTCACTTGGAAGCATGTTTGTTTTTCTTGCTTTTTGTATACCTCCTAATATTTGGTTAAAAGTAAACATATTGTGTAAACCAGTAGAATCTAAGGTATACAGTTTTTATACCTGGATATGGGCATGCCTTACCTTCTGCTAGAATTGTAATGGAAGGCTTTGCATTAATTCAGTTAGTAACTGAACTGGTTGTTGTTTTGTTGTTTTTGCTATAATTATACTCAGACCTCATAGGTTTAAAATTCCTATAGCTTGTTTCTAGGGTGGTGGATGTGTATTAGATCAATGCTTGTTTGATTCTGAGTTTTAGGTCTTCCCCTTGAGCTGTGCCTCCAAGAGTTCTCATTGCACATTCCTGTTCTCCCATTCCTCGTCTTGCAGTGTTTTGCTGTTAGTAGCCACTTGAAGCTTCTTAGCTTCATGGTGGGGGAGGGAGGTGTAGTTTCTGTTCTGATTAAGGCTCTTCAGCATGCCTGTGTCCCTGAAGTGTGTGGCTCTTTCAGTTCTCCTGCCCTTTCCCCGATACAGTTGTGGGTCCAGCACTTAATCCTGTCCCTTGTCAAAAGAATGGATGTTCCCCACTCTTGTTCCCTTTCCCTGGCTGCAGTGAGTGTTCACCATTACCTTAAAAACAACACTTTTACAACCCCCTCACAGATGAATGCTTTTGTTCCTCTGGGTCAGGTGTTTTGAATTTGAATTTAGTTTTTGTGTTTGTTTTCTGTCATAATTTTTGAGAATATCACTAATTCTAGCTCCCCACATCCTCCAATTATATACATTCTTCCCAGGAAGAAGCCAGAACTCAGTCAACTGTGTTGCGTAAAGACTTGATGTGAAAGATTCCATGGGAGTTAAAACTATCCTCATGGGTCCAGACCCACTGTCTCCTCTTGTCCATCCAGAAACCTCCACACGTTGTAAAGTATTTCTGGTGAGTTAGTATAATGGACTAAAACATTCAGACCAAGAAATCATTTTGAAATCCTTATTCTAGAGAGCAGTCATGAAAAATATTCTATGAAGTCTTTATTTATATAACCATGCTTTTCTATTCTACCTATTCCATCAAGCATCTTATTCAGTAGACCATCTTGAGTATTTTATTTACATGTTGAAAATCTAATTTGTTAGTTCAGTAAAAAATACTTTTGAGTGCTCAGATCACTCAATTCAAAGCACTTTAAACCCAGTTTTAAGCAAGAGATATAGTGGCAAACCATTACTACTCTCAGGAGCATAATCTTAGGTTGTTTCCATGTGCTATTTGTGAAACCATCCCTGTCCAACACATTGGTGTTTATGTTAAGGTATAAAGCTGAGGGTGAGAGAAAGGGAGAGTTCTAAGAACAGAGAATTCTGCACTCTCTCACCAATGCAGAGGTTGATAACCCTGGAAGCAGCTCCTTTCCAAACACTTAGCACCTTTGGAAATGTTCCCTAAACTGATGCTCAAACTCAATGTGAAGGATAAACTTTTACTACTTCCTTCCCTTGACCGAAGTTTACAGCAGTGGCTATAATTAGTGTAGTTATGATTGCTGATATTGAGTACAATTACAATTCTTTGCCTTTCTTGCTAATATTTTCCAAATTTTTCACTCCTCAAATCTAGGAAACTATAAAGCAGGGATTTAACAGTCATAATAGCCTGCAACAATAATCTCCATAACTGAGTTTAAATACATCTGTTTTGAAATTGGTTATAATCTAATTGGGGAGACATGATTCACACATGAAAGAGTAATTGCTAATACCATATGGTATAGTATATACTTAGTGCCAATTGAATTGTATAAACATGGCACAGTCATCAAATATCATATCTGAAGCCTCAGGCAAGCCAAGAAGCAGTAAGTTTAGCTGGGTCTTGTAGACACATCTAGCCAGAAAGAAATAGGCAGGATATTTTATACATAAAGAATTGCATTGGAAAAGCCAGAGAGGCTAAAATGTACATTACTTGTTAAGAAAACATTGTATAGACTCATGCAGCTTACTAGTATATAAAATTCAAAGAGTAATATAAAATAAGCTCACAGAAACTTATGAACACACTGTGGGTTGCAATAGAAAGACTAATTGCTTTGTCTACCCAGAACTCTTTGTTTTAGTCTGGTAAGCAGCTCCTTCTTTTAGGGAACTGCCCTCTCCCACCACACCCCACTGCCTCTCTTTCTCCTCGCTGCAATCCTTCACCATCGCTATCCCAAGTCATTCAACAAGACACCTTTCTTAGGATCTGTGCACTGGAATTACTTAGAATTGTTTTCCTGTCCAATGAAAAGCTATGAAAGTATAAAGCTAAAGCTGCCAGAGGCCACAGAGAAAGGGAGCTAGCAGAGCAAACTAGGAGGAAGAGAGAGGCAAGGAGTCCTGCTGATATTCAAGCCTCTGATTCCAGCCACATCTTTCTTCCTGTTATTTTGTTTTGGGAACCACTGACTTC